CCCATCCACCTTTATTCTTTTCTTTACAATAAGGCTTTCAAATAAGTCATGGTTGTACGGCAGTGAAGCATCGGTGTTGAGCACTGATGTCATGCTGTCGTTGATGATGATGAGTACCCTAGGCACCATGGGCAAGAAGGCCCAGTAGTTGGAGCGCGGATTTACCGACCAGAAGGTCCGTAGTTCGAACACGATTTCTGCATTCCAATTCCCTGCGATGTCATGCTGTCGTTGATGATGATGAGTACCCTAGGCCACATGGGCAAGAAGGCCCAGTAGTTGGAGCGCGGATTTACCGACCAGAAGGTCCGTAATTCGAACACGATTTCTGCATTCCGAATTCCCTGCCTAGGCTTGGACGACTTGGCAGCATCCTAACCCTGGTGCTTCCTTCGGGTGGTACGGCAGCTAGGCACCGAAAAGGTATTACAGGTGAATGATTTGATTATTTATTTATGTAACCATGAATTGTAAAACTAAAAGTATCATCGTACCTCAGCAGCAGCTGCGTAATATCAAGCGGGTCACGGAGTTTTCCGCATGCAGCAAGGCAGCTCAGTAAAGATAGGCTACTCCCAACACCTTTCTCCTTCATATGTCCGTTGCAATGCCCCACGGGCCCATCCTCAGGGGCTGATGAACAGTAAGACCTTCGTCTTCGTTCGAAAGACCCGTTCTACATTGCGTCATTCAACAAGTTCAACGATGGGCATCTCTTGCACAAATCTTGTTCTCCCATTCGATCGGTGTTGTGTGCCCGAGACGCGCACACAAGACTCCAGATCCTTCTCCAGTTCCATACACCATTTCGGATAGCATGACACCGAAAGGATGTTACAACTGAACGATATTTTCATACACCTTAAATAGCCCTGGAAGAACCCGGACTTCTCGTACTTTACTTTTCCTGTATCTAATAACCCTGATTCAATCGCTTAGAGTATCTACGACATGATGGTTGTGCTCAGCCGGACAACTGAATGTGCACTGCTGGAATAGATTTCAGCTAACAATTATCGTTGCGCCTTTCGGTTGAGAGGTCCAAGCAAGACCAGCGCAGCTCGTCGCCATATAGAATCTTTGTTGTACCTGCATACGCACCAACAGATGGCAGCTCTGAGGCTGAAGTTTATCACGGCTGCTCCAGTCAACAAAAAGTACAGATATCATAAGTCTGGCAGGCGATATAGACGTCCGATCGGCCGACTACGTAATGAAGCCCATGTTGGCGGTCATCTTCAGTTACATGCTGAATATCATTCGTTTCCAACCAGTGGAAACCTTCGAAATGGGTGCGTCAGCTAGAAGTCATCAAATACAAATCAGCCATACGTCTATTTGACCAAGTGGAAACCACCTACCGGTGGAGGGGTTCAATACGAGACTGCCGTTCATTTTGGAATGCACATCTTAATTCTGACAAATAGCAACGTGCGGACACGCATATCAGTTTACATCGCCTCGGAAATGCATCAGTTTCACAGCTCCGGAACCCTAGAGGCGGGAAGAGCATTATCCCACAAGACGACAAACGCATATTACTAACAGTCAAGTGCGCGAATGCGAGACGTCGCGATACTTAAAGCGCATGTCTGACTTCGAATTCAGGTTGTTCGGTTGACGCCGGGTGTTTAGTTAGCATTGGTTGTAGGACACTCCAGCTTCGTGGCTTCCTGAGCCAGTACGGACTTTCAGTACAATCGCTCATATCCAATTAACTGAAGACCGACAAACCCAAGCCCGTTACGCACTCAGTTAGATCGACTAGTTGTCAGTTACTGAGAAAAGAGCCTAATAAATGATTGCCGTTCCTCCTGGTGTACACAACTTGAATCCGATCACATTAGCTTGTCAGCTCTATTTCCACTGCTGAAGCGGAGAAGTTCCGTTTGACGAATTCGACGAGTTTCGGTGGCTCAGCAATATACAGCTGAACTGTTTGGAAAGCTACTGAAAATACACAGTCACGCTGATGACGAAAATTGGTTGGAGGAAGAATGGAAGAGTGAAACAGGCTATGCTCTTCGCTTTTAGAACTGTCTGATCACGGCATTCGACTCGACTGAGTGAACATCGGATATCGTTCGGATCCGCAGATCTTATTGCTACCAGAAAAGCGATACTGGCAACAAGAGATAATCAACAGTATGAAGGATGACAGGGAACACAGATGGGTTACGAAGGTCCATGAGATGAAGAAGGCTTTCGGTGCACGCAATAGTTGTGCCATACTCGGTCTGATTCGATCAACCAGCGGAAAAGAGACCCAAAGACCAGTGTGACACTAGCTTGATATCCAAGATGTTCTCCAGTATTGGGTGGCTCAGTGGTTAGAGCGCAAGTTTACTGAGCGGAAGGCCCGTGGTTCCACCATGACTTCTGCATCTCGACTTCCCGTATCTAGGTTTGGGCAACCTGGCAATATTGCATTTCCCCTACTTTCTTCGGGTGTTATGGCAGCTAAGCATCGAAAGGGCGCTACAGCCGAACGGGTTTTCTCCGGTATTATTTTGCACAGGCGGACAATGAAGATAAATTCTTGAGAATCAAGCTGAGTTGCGTACCGACCAAGGACATTTTGATCATTTCTTTGCCACGAGGCAGGTTCCAGAACAGCCACTATTTCAAACGTCCAACGGCGGCCATTTTTCTTCATCTGTCGATCGTCAAAAGATAAGGCAGTGTTTGGCAATCAAGGGCTTCCTGTATAATTTTTAACTCTCCATATCACTATTACCACAACTTTTCGACTTTTCAGTTTTGTGGCTTATGAGGAGTTTAATAAAGGCTGTGTAGGATTTTAATAATAAACAGAACTTTAATTTGGTTTATTTGCACTGCAACAGCGTTTTTGAGTGTTTGTTCCAGTCGCTCTCCGTCTTTGCGTAAGGTGTAATGCTTTTTTAAATATAATCCCCGGCGACTTACACGGTCTCTACATGCATGTGATGGGAGTGTTGTTGACATAAATCAGTGATACCTAAAGCGCCATTCAGCGACTACGTATAACTATACAGTCGAAAATGAGGTATTTATCGCGCAGGTTCAATTTGTATGTGACGAACTAGCGATAAATTGTTTCCGAGTTTGTGGAAATAGCATCAACCTTTAACTCTTATGATGCCAATATGTACGAACTCACATCGTCTGAGTTTAACATCCTCACCAAGGGCATGATATTTCCGGGAAGCTTGAGCGAAAGCCTCGATCTTGTGTACCAATCTATGAAGCCTTGCCACCGTTCATCCATGATTAATCTGAGAGCTTTGTTGTGAAGAAAATAATGAAGGTGGACGAAGAAGAGACTTAGTGTTAGTCTACCATAATCACTCCGACACCCATTCGGGAAATCCGGATAGAAACTGACAACAAGAACGTCAGTGACATCGACTAGCAGCCATATCTTGCGGCGTCTCCAACCAGGCATAGCGGGGATCGCGCGGTGTCTCGCATCGCAAAGACAGCATCGACTTTTCATTGCCTGTTTCACATCCCAATGCGAGATCAAGGGTTGACCAGCCCTCTACTACCGCCATTTTCATTTGAGCACGGAAAACAGTAATCCGTTCGGAAAACAATGGCTCGGCGTGTGCAAGGCGTGGTCAAACCAACAAAGATTCTGGTGCCGGACGCAGTATTTTATAGAAGTCTGCGCTGCGCAACCAAACGCTCGCTCCTAAAGCCCTCGTTAAATACGTGGTCACACCAAATCACACAATGTTCGGTTTTGAGAGTGAGGTTGCCGATGACCTGAAGATGCCTCAGGTCCGCTGATCGAACACGGCGAATCAGACAACCGCCAAGGGGTCTGATACACACTCACCTTAAAATTCAGGGATACACCGCCTTGACGCCACCGATTTAGACGGAATCCCGCACGCAGTTAGTTATGCGCTCCCAAGGCCAAGGAGACCCTCCCGCACACGATTGGCCAGAACGAGGGCCGTTTTGGGACCAGTATCTTTCCTATCTCTGATTGGCCGAAACCGTGGACCCAACAGTAAGTCACCATCCAACATCCGCCACATGCCGGTTGCCAGTGTAGCATTCAGAAAGCCTTGAAAACTCTAGAATGCCGTCTCTACATATATTTTGAATGTTACGCGTTGTATGTGTTACCGGTGTGATTTCGGGCGCTTAATTCGCCCTGTGCATCTCTGGTGGGCCTTAAGCGGGAACGCTACATTGAGATGGATCACGAAACAAATATAAATTAAGAAGTATTCACCCCTGATGAACAATAAGTTGTGTACGGAAGCTTATGGAGAGCACTTCATATAGCCTCGCATGCATGAAAACGTGAGAACACAAAGCGATAATGTCCACAATTCAGAGGCGCTCCCTAATGAGCAGGCCCGTTAAAGAGAACAGGTCGGTCCACTGATTCGAGTCCACCTTGAAAATCCAGGAATGGTAAAATCGTTGGTCGCTTATACGTATGACCCTGTTTTAGCACCCGACAGTGCGTGAATTTTTCCAAACGCAACCCCTACCTGACCGGGTTCCAGTCGCTCTCCGTCTTTGCGTAAGGTGTAATGCTTTTTTAAATATAATCCCCGGCGACTTACACGATCTCTACATGCATGTGATGGGAGTGTTGTTGACATAAATCAGTGATACCTAAAGCGCCATTCAGCGACTACGTATAACTATACAGTCGAAAATGAGGTATTTATCGAGCAGGTTCAATTTGTATGTGACGAACTAGCGATAAATTGTTTCCGAGTTTGTGGAAATAGCATCAACCTTTAACTCTTATGATGCCAATATGTACGAACTCACATCGTCTGAGTTTAACATCCTCACCAAGGGCATGATATTTCCGGGAAGCTTGAGCGAAAGCCTCGATCTTGTGTACCAATCTATGAAGCCTTGCCACCGTTCATCCATGATTAATCTGAGAGCTTTGTTGTGAAGAAAATAATGAAGGTGGACGAAGAAGAGACTTAGTGTTAGTCTACCATAATCACTCCGACACCCATTCGGGAAATCCGGATAGAAACTGACAACAAGAACGTGACAGACATCGACTAGCAGCCATATCTTGCGGCGTCTCCAACCAGGCATAGCGGGGATCGCGCGGTGTCTCGCATCGCAAAGACTCGACTTTTCGCCATATCTTGCGGCGTCTCCAACCAGGCATAGCGGGGATCGCGCGGTGTCTCGCATCGCAAAGACAGCATCGACTTTTCATTGCCTGTTTCACATCCCAATGCGAGATCAAGGGTTGACCAGCCCTCTACTACCGCCATTTTCATTTGAGCACGGAAAACAGTAATCCGTTCGGAAAACAATGGCTCGGCGTGTGCAAGGCGTGGTCAAACCAACAAAGATTCTGGTGCCGGACGCAGTATTTTATAGAAGTCTGCGCTGCGCAACCAAACGCTCGCTCCTAAAGCCCTCGTTAAATACGTGGTCACACCAAATCACACAATGTTCGGTTTTGAGAGTGAGGTTGCCGATGACCTGAAGATGCCTCAGGTCCGCTGATCGAACACGGCGAATCAGACAACCGCCAAGGGGTCTGATACACACTCACCTTAAAATTCAGGGATACACCGCCTTGACGCCATCGATTTAGACGGAATCCCGCACGCAGTTAGTTATGCGCTCCCAAGGCCAAGGAGACCCTCCCGCACACGATTGGCCAGAACGAGGGCCGTTTTGGGACCAGTATCTTTCCTATCTCTGATTGGCCGAAACCGTGGACCCAACAGTAAGTCACCATCCAACATCCGCCACATGCCGGTTGCCAGTGTAGCATTCAGAAAGCCTTGAAAACTCTAGAATGCCGTCTCTACATATATTTTGAATGTTACGCGTTGTATGTGTTACCGGTGTGATTTCGGGCGCTTAATTCGCCCTGTGCATCTCTGGTGGGCCTTAAGCGGGAACGCTACATTGAGATGGATCACGAAACAAATATAAATTAAGAAGTATTCACCCCTGATGAACAATAAGTTGTGTACGGAAGCTTATGGAGAGCACCTCATATAGCCTCGCATGCATGAAAACGTGAGAACACAAAGCGATAATGTCCACAATTCAGAGGCGCTCCCTAATGAGCAGGCCCGTTAAAGAGAACAGGTCGGTCCACTGATTCGAGTCCACCTTGAAAATCCAGGAATGGTAAAATCGTTGGTCGCTTATACGTATGACCCTGTTTTAGCACCCGACAGTGCGCGAATTTTTCCAAACGCAACCCCTACCTGACCGGAATCCCGCTTGCTGTTTCGAGTCATCGCTTCACCAGCCGCCAGAAGCCAACGCAGCCCAAACGACGCCAACAATCTCGTTACGACCGGGGTCATTCCGACCCGTGTGTGGCTGTCACACTTTCTGGGGGCCTCTTTTCGGGAATATGCACCATCACCGATTCTCCTCATTTGTTTTGGACTGTCCCTTTTTACCATCGAACTAGCAACGCTGTTATTGGGAACAGATAGATGGATTATTTATGCTCTATAGGTTACACTGTTTAGGGCGTGCACATAACAGGCCAGATGACCATCCACTTCCCAGTATTCTCTCGTCGATGCTATGCTGAGCGGAATTGATATAGAGGCACTAAACAGTGAATTCAGTCGGTCGGACAACTGCTGTCTCTATGTTTGGGGATTCCCGAACTCAAACGGTTAACAGACAAGTAAAATTGCTGTAATAGATAATCCCCTTCGACTGATTCAATCCAAACATTGATCTTGCTCTGCAGTTATCTGACAAGGCGCTTATAATTGATTAGCCCAAACCATCTGATTGACGTCCCCTTTTCCGTCATGTTCCCCGAAGCCCCACAAAACCGTTCAAACTTACGGTCTGCCCGTAACACATGAGCCGGATGGATTGAACGTCTGATCGTATATCGGACGAGTCCAGCATATTTCCTGTGCAAAGAACAATATATTCATTTCGAGGCTGGTGTGCACCTAGGTCCAACTACAGGTTTGAGAACCGGCTCAAAGTTGACACTTTGTTATCGCTCGTGCGCTGGCCTCAGTGTGGAGTAGAAATCACAGTGTAGCATATGTGCAGAAATGCAAAAGTCATCATTTGCTTCCCTTGAGAATGTCTTGCCTCTAGAGTTACTGGAATCTCTCAAACTGCACAACCTTCTGTATGTGGATGGAGTGAGGCTGTGGAAGTCACCTCCCTGTGGTAAGCAATCAGACGGGATGTAATATATGCCGAACAAGTCATTGTATTTGTGGCAAGTGGAATGTTCCCAGAAAACACTATGATTCGTTGAAAGCTCTCGCAGCATCGGGGCTACACTCTTCGTGTTCGGCGGTAAAACGCTACCCAGGTGGTAGAATTTCCCTGAATCTAAAGACGAGGGTTCATACATGGCAAGAAAAAACTGGTGGCCAAATGGGGTTTCACGCAGTTCAACTTGCAGCCCTTTAGTCGTACAACCCAGATCAAGAGCTTGTAAGAGTTTTGCTCCAGGTTCTTCGCATGCCAGAGCTGGTGGGCGCGAAATGGGACTAGGCTCATTGTGGAGTACGGAAAACCTGGCGCGTGCACATCAACAGATCAGGAGGTACTCCCGGGAAAGATCGAAACGTTTTACTCCTAGAAGAACTTCAGCTTCTGAAAACTAATATAGTTTCGGGCATCCAAAATCTTTCAAACTCCGTTCTAACTGGACGGCATATTGCCAAAAATCGGCATAGTGGCGGAATAAATATTGAACTTGCTGACCTCCGGTGTCTTTAGATTCAAATGACCAATCATTTAGAACTCTCTTTCCCCGTAAGCAGGTAAAAGGTTGTTTGCGGGAACCAGTGTAAGTTTTCTAACAACAGAAGCCTACAACAGGATCCGTTGATTGCTTTGTAGGTGAGGGTAGTCAAAGCACTGGGTAACCTGACGTGCAAGGTTGTCTGCAAGTGCATGGATGATAACTGAGCAGTGGCTTAACCAACTAAAGCTACCAGGAGCTACGTAAGAAAATATTCTCTATCTGAGCGTTGAAAATAGCTCATAATGTTCTAGAATGCCCCATGGGTATTATTTGAATGATTTTTTAGATAAAAGCATCTTGCTTAAATAGCTTTAGGGATGCAAAACCGGTTGCAGAAGCCTTTGTACGTTTCATGCCCTCAAATCCTTTAAACTAAAAATCTGAAATTCTGGAAAGTGGTTTTTGCGTTGGGGAAACCAAAATGGCCAGGTCGGAGAGGACGTTGTACTAAAGTAAGCAGGAGAGTCCACGCCTAATCACACCGAGCACTAGGCATACGACCCAAATACCTGAACCAGTAGTATCCTAAAGCCTACTTGCACCCTGGGGAATAAAACCACCTACTGTAGAGTATCAAACAATCCATATGGCAGCTAACGTGATCCCCCTCTGTTCCCCATCCGAAGCAAGAAACAAAAGCCACGGATTTTTTTTACTTGAGTAACCAGCCGGTCGTGCCACCGGTTCACAGACGAAATGTCTGGAGTATCGGGTGCACCGACCTTCAGTTCCGTAAAAAAAATCAACTGCGCCGAGGCTAAAGCGTTATCAGCAATGATAGCTTTTATTAAGTTTGATACTTATAGACCGCGCGTTCATTGTATACATTGATAACCACCGTTTGTTTAACTGACTGCGTACGGCATGCCGGGTTCAATGTCAAATGCACGCCAAATATCAGATTAATTAAACCAAACCTTGGAAAATCATGGTAGATTGGGACGATTGTTGAACTGAGCACATGAAATACGACAATTTGGCGTAAAATGTTTTACTCCACCTGGAGGGTTTTACAGAAAGTGCATTCGCGCTCGAAGGTTATTTCGTTTTTGGTCGTGCAGATGTTTAAATGAATTCTTTCGTTGTTTAATGTATTTTCCGGGTTAACACGTGTCGCTGTGTTGAAATTTCTACTGTAATCGCGCGAAAACTTCTGCATTCAATTCCTCCGGTGTAACCAGTCAATCATGAGCCAGATCATTACAGGTTGATCTTGCAGCAATCAATGGACCACAAGCGATGTAGGGAGCGGCTGCCCATCTAATGCACGACGTGGTATGCAATGTCACACATTTAAAGCCTGGTAGCGCATTGAATATTCTGGTTTACAGGACGGGAAGATAAGCCATTGGTCTAACTCTCCTGACGCGTTTTTCTGCGTCAGCTTTCTCGAGCTCAAGAATGATATGCAATTTGAAAGTGAGAATAAATCTACCGAGAACGAAACCGACCTCCTTTCTTTGCTATTCGGGAAGACCCGTGCCAATGTTCCGTTTCAACCAGGATACTTGACGCAAAACTGGTGCTTTTTCTAACAAACACAAACACACAGACACAAATACAAAGAACACAGCGACCCGGACAAAAGTCGAAAATGAACTTTTTTCTTGAATGAGTACTTAGCATTATCCAACCTGGGTCCACTGGCTTCAGCTCTTTGATGCGGCAATGAAGAAAACCATGTCTTCAGTGGATAGGTGCATGAGGGAGAGCAGGCTGACCGTCTATGTGCCATTCTGTAGAAGAA